TGTCCAAACAAGCACAAAATACACTTATAGGATGGGAATCTCATGGACCAAGGATCATCATAGCCATATTTATTTATTTTAACACTTAGATATTGGTACAAGGAGGTACCAAATACATATGCACCACAAAGACCTCATTTGTTATTTGTAAGGGCTGTGATACTGCCCGGGTGCCCAAACCGAAGCAGGTGGTTTACTTAGGGGGCCACATCCCGAGCCTTCGACCTGAACGTCTGACTCACAAGGCAGTGGAGCATCGTGAGGAGATGCAGTCCCATGGTAGCTGGTGACCAACGGTTGGTTCATACTCCATCTGTTCCCACAGGGTACTAAAGCCCATGTACACCATTGGTTTGGGGTCCGGTTAAAGCGCCGGACATTCGCATTTCGTCCTCTCATTTTCGTAAACAACACCCGTGGTGCGAGAAGGCAGTGAGTAGGACTTCCCTGGCAGAGGCTATATACGCGTGGCCATGTAAGAGCATTTCGAGAGGGAGAGTGGAATCTCCCCACTCTCGGCCGTACCAGGGCATTACAAAGAACGTCATACAATGATATACGCCTACCAACGACTACAAGGAAGACGTTAAAGACCGATTCTACGATAGGCTGAAGTCAATCGTCGAGAAGTGCCCAACAAAGGACTTAACCATAATGATGGGAGACCTAAATGCAAAGGTTGGCATGGACAACACCGGATATGAAGACATCATAGGACGACATGGACTGACTGGAAGAAAGGAATGAAAATGGTCAGAGATTTGCGAACCTATGTACCTTCAATAAAATGGTCATAGGCGGCACCCTATTCCCACATTAACGCATACTCAAAGCCTCACGGATTTCACCGGATCACACTACACACAACTAAATCGACTATGTCTGCATCAATAAGATATTCAGGACGACAATGGAGGATGTGAAAAGCAAAAGAGGAGCTGATACAGCATCAGATCATCACTTGCTGGTGGCCAAGATGAAGCACTGGACAACGGGGCGGACATCACAAAAGTTTAATACGGCTCTTCTTCTGGATAATGACATACTCAACGAATTCAGGATATCTTTGAGCAATAGGTTCCAGGGCTTTCACAATCTACTCAATGGAGAGGGAACTACTATGGAGAGCAACCGGAAAGTGATCAAGGAGGTAGTCACTTCAACATGTCATGAAGTTATGGGCCACAAGAAGCACCACAAGAAATGAATCACTGTTGATACACTGGATTAAAAAACGAAGGAACGAGAAGGTAAAAACCAATATCAACCGAACAAGAGCAGAGAAAACCAAGGCACAAGACGAAAACACAGAAGTAAACAAGAAAATGAAGATGAGCATTAGAACTTACAAACGTAAATATGTGGAAGATTTAGCAATGACGGCGGGAAAGGCTTGAAGAGAAGGAAACATGAGACAGTTGTGTGATACAACAGAGAAGCTCGCTGGAAATTTTCGTAAAGCAGAACGACCAGTAAAAAGCAAGGAAGTCAAAGTAATCACTAACATTGAAGAACAGCGAAACATGTGGGCAGAGCACTTCAAGGAACTCTTGAATCGATCAGCCCCACTGAACTCACCTAACATCAAGGCAGCACCGACGAACCTTCCAATCGGTGATGGCCCACCAACAATTAAAGAAATCAGCATGGCCATCAGAAAAATCACGAGTGGAAAAGCAGCAGGACCAGACAACATTCCAGCAGAGATAATGAAAGCAGATGTAGCAGTAACTGCAAGGATACTCCACATTCTCTTCAGCAAGATTTGGGATGAAAAACAAGTACCAACAGACTGGAAAGAAAGTCATCTATTCAAGATACTAAAGATCTCAGCAACTGTGAGAATTACAGAGGCATCACTCTTCTCTCAATACCAGGAAAAGTCTTCAGCAGGGTATTGTTAAACAGGTTGAAGGACTGTGTCGACGCCCAACTTCGAGACCAACAGGCAAGATTCCGTAAGGATAGATCGTATACTGACCAAATCGCAACTCTACGGATCATTGTGGAACAATCAATTGAATGGAATTCATCACTCTACATCAACTCCATTGACTACGAAAAAGCATTTGATAGCGTGGACAGGACAACACCATGGAGGCTTCTTCAACACTGCCGCGTGCCTGAGGGGATAGCCAATATCATACGGAATTCCTATGATGGATTAAACTGCAAAATCGTTCATGAGGGACAGCTGGCAGACTCGTTCGAAGTAAAGACCGGTGTTGATCTGGTTCTCTATTTTAGGTCGCGGATCCTTGTTCTGATATAACTTGATTAGTTTATTAACGTATTATCGTAATATACGCGCGAGAGGGAAATACTGTAAACCATCCGTTTTATCAAGAATATCAATTACTTAAAATATTCATCCTAAAAATTGAATATACGTTAAAGACTATAGTACTTGATTTTATATAGGGCACTTGATAACTCAACTAGACTTATGGTAAAAAATTGGACCAAAATCTCTCAACTTGTAGTTGTATTTAAACTTTAGTCTCACAAATGTCTCGTAGTTTCTAATTAGTCTGACTACTTATTTATCTTTATTTAGACATTACTACGATCCGCGCTGGATCATTTCCACTCAAGCTAAACTTATTGATAACTTACATTGTCTCACCAGAAAATATGATCGTACAACTTCTGTTAATGAGATCGTCAGAGAGGAAAATTTCTTCCTTTAAAAATTTGTTTTATCTCAACAGTAGTTTGATATAGAGAGATTTTCATCTTAAAAGGTTGCGTTGTCCTGTCTACTTAAACTTATGAATGCCCTTTTGGGATTAAAAAACAGTCCCATAAACGAAATACTCCTTATTGCATTTTGTCTGCTAACTACATATGTAGAATAGAAGATATCACACTTATGTCACTTTTGTGGGTTTCAGAGAAAATACATAGCTCGCAAATCAACAGACTAAGTTCATGTTCAAATGAACAACAAGTTCACATAAAGACCGGCAAATATAAATAAACATGCAACTTAATTATTGTCTGCTGCCTTCACATAAGTCAGTAGTATAGACATGCATATTAAGACATAGAGGGTCGATATCAACACTGATTGTTTAATCGATACACACATAACCTGTAGTTGTTTAGACAGGACAATGTGTCATGTGGCTTTCATCAATATGGTTTAGGAAGTTGTTTGATCACCTGCCAACGAGAGATTTGATTTATTATGCTAAATCGCCAGATTTGGTTGATATGGTTTTTATTATTATGATTACTGGCAACAATAATGCGACTTAGATTTAACAAATGTCTAGATATTTTTCAGAAATATCGGAACAATAGTGTCTATTAAGTATGTTGTTATTACCAATATTGATTTTTGTCCACCAGACAAGGCAAACTATATAGCATTTTATCAGTGGATTTTTCTTGACTCCAAAACAAGGGTTAACATTAATTGCACCGCCAATTTTTTGTTTTTTTCGTCCCCATTTTCCAATAATTTTCTTTCTGTTCCGTCCAATCAAATAGCTAGTTTTTAGTTCGTTATAATTGGTCGTTTGTTTCTTAAAATCGATATAAAGTATCAAGACTTGACGACAGAGCACATTTCCTTCCAATTGCGGACGGTAGTAGGGTACAAAACGCGGGTTCTGTCGTTCCCCACTAATCAAATTACCTCCTTCGTCTACTCGGCTGTGAGGGACCGCTAGGTGTTCTACGGCCAGTTCTCCAACATACAAATTTAATATACGATTTCTGATCTCTGTCCAAATGAGAATCTCTCACCACATAATGACAGTACGTAGATCTTTCATAAGTTCTGATAGCCGACTTTAACGCTTCAAATGATTGGAACACAACGAGGAACAATGTAGTCAAAAATACATCCTCCGTTTCTGTGACAACGTGAGAAATAACAGCGCTTGTACATGGCACGTTAATCTCCTCCATAATGATGATGAAAATGAACTTTTTCGACGAGTGCTGACATTTTATAACAATTTCAAGACATAACTAACCAATTATAACAAACTTAAAATTAGCAATTTAATTGGACGAAACGTGGTGAAAAATTTTGGAAAATGGGATGGAAAAACTTTTTTAAAGGGGTGAAAAAAATTTATTAAAAAAATTTTTTTTAAATAGCCGGTCGCTTAATGATTTTGCAAAACAAGTGTTTGGCCGGTTCTGAAAAATTTAAAACTGTTAGCAATCTAATGGTATTATTTTTTTCTTAAGAAAACTAATTTTTCAGCTCAGTAAGAAATGTAGTTAGGGCCTAATCAGTGTTTGCTGAGCGTATCAATGCGAGTCAATCGACCGTACCCAACTTTATTTACAATAATACGCATCTGAAGTAAGGATATTTGTTGTCAACTGTGACACAAATTAACCTCTATAAAATTCATCTAAAATCTCAAGTGTTTTGATATCCTCTCAGAGATTTGAAACTGCATTATTACTCATAATTATCTCCCCTCGGTACTCTAAATAATCAAAATCCAGCAAGTTTAGTCTACTTCAATCCCAGGTCTTATAGCTAAGTTAGTGAAGAGGCATCTAGTCAACACAGGTGGTCCGATAACAAAGAGTTAGTCGTAATCTAGTGAGAACTTAGTGAAATGATGACTGGAGTTATTCATAACTCTATTCTGAGAGCATATTCAATGTATTTCATAATAAAACTTAGGGCTTGAAATGAAATGTTTGATGAAAACTGCTTTATGATATCCGACACTCACCCAGAAAAGGAACGCGAAAAAACGGGGATGCTATGGAAGACATATATAGTAACCATGAGAACATAGTGGATAACCTCAGTCGAAATAGCCATTTCCTCCTCCTTTTTCTAGCTGTAAATATTTCTCATATAGAACCATCTAATAGTTGTATCCTCAGATTATTCAACATACCTTTACCTGTATCTAATGATTTAATTGAATAATTGTTAACACTTAATTTTTCGACCACAACAAAATCAACGAACATCTCATAATTATATTAATTTCTCTTATTTCATGGGTTTTCTTCAGGTCCTTACAGACTAGAAACAATTAATAATTTAGAAAGCAATACAGTACACATAATTTATGTGAAGGAAGATCTTGAGTGAAATTAGATTTGGAACCCAAATGTAGATTAATGGAAAACAATGATCGTGGAGGAATCTAAAGATTTGCTCGTACATTTACTAACTTATATGATTACCCATAGCCACTCCATCAATTTGAAAATATAAGACATTATTGAATTTAAGTCGAATATGTTTGATACATATGAGTAAATCTACTTGAATTTATCCTCTGATATGGGAAGTAGGACAGTGTTTTGATGTATAATTTGCATGGTTCCTCCTAATGGAATTGAGGTAAATAATGATAATATATCAAGTGAAACCATGAATTTATCAAGAAGTTCAACCTTTTCCTGAATTTGAGTAAATTAATTAGTCTTTCAAGTTGCAAACAGATAAATTTGAACGAACCAGTTCTAACTGATTAGTTAACCACCGAGAAAGCTTATGAAATTGAGAATTAATCGGTGATAATGTTGGTATAACTGGAACATTAGGCTTATGTATTTTTACTACTTCATACAAAAATGCTAACCTAGATCCTTGAGGTGTCAGTTCATCATGTATTATATAATCGATTGACTTTTTTACAAAAACTCGCTCAATTTAATTCTGACAAATTTTTCTGCTTACTCAGTCATATCTTTCTTCGAACCATCAGCTAGGAATATCAATAAGTCATCTAGGAGCATATTGTTTTTGTTCATTATATTTTTATTACTAAGGTCATTGCATGGATGACCTTTCATTTGGTCAATAAAAATAAATCAAAACTTAGTTCACAGTGAATGTTCGTGTTTTGATGTCTAGTTCTGGTTACCTTAACAGATTATAACTGCTATTAGCTTACTATTTGGTCAATGAAAAATTAATCTTATGGATGATGACGTGAAGATTTAAAAGAAAAGAAGGAAAATATAATTTCATATTCATGTATTAAGATTTTGTTAGAAGAAATGAAGAACCTGAAAGGAAGTGAGCAAATTAGATTTATGCACGAAGACCTAAAAAACTATTATCTACAAGGAAGACTGACACAACCCAGAGGAGACTCATTAGAATAATGTTTTGATTGATTTGATTTTCTAAATAATAACATATACTGAAATTGTAGCTGTGTTGTCGGTTAGAGATAAGAAAAAGACTGGATCAACGATTCCGTGTTCAGTATAATTAGATCGCACTGGATAGTATTCGAAAACAGACAAAGAAAATTTCGTTGATAGACTACTGCATAAGAGCACGTGATAATATTCATACTCATAGAATCAGTCAATTTTCAATAACCAGTAATAAAAAGTAGATACACTAGTGTTCATTCATTAAAGAAAAGGTGTGTATAACTGTAAACTTGAGTGTTCTGGACACGCCATATAGAATACTTTTACAAATTCGACAGTTGAAACACCAGTTTATTCATGATTAAGTAATCCCCACAAGGAGCATACGAATGTTCGCATGCACAAACAACAGATTACTATCATCAAACAAGTGCGTATCTGCTTCCGATTCCGGATGCATTGTGTTATTTGACCTTCCTCTATTCCGTTTCTCCTCAGGATTCCAAGTTAGCTCTTTTTAGTGATTCAGATTGGTGATTTTCACAATGCATGTCCTAACCACCTCCAACATCCTTTCCTAATTTGCTCCTCAGATGGAAGTTGGTTTGTTCTCTCACACAGTAGTTTATTGTCGATGGCATCCGACCAACATATATTGAGTATGTTGAGTAGACATTTGTTTACAAATACTTGTACACTTTTGATTATGGTTGTGGTAGTTCTGGAAGATTCAGCTCCGTACAGTAGAAGTGTCTTGACGTTTGCATTGAAGATTGTGACTTTGATGTTGGTTGAGAGACGGTTGTTTGGAGTTGAATATGTTGTTCAACTATAGAGATGCTGTCCTTACTTTGCCAATCCGTGGCTTTACGTGTGCATCAGATCCTACTCGTACACCGATGATGATAATGATGCTGATCAGGTAGGTGAAAGTTTCCACCTGTTTCAGAATTTATCCATCAAGTGTGATCAGTTTGGTTGGTGTTTTCTGTGTTGTATTTGAGGGTGTTGCTCCTCCTTTTGTGTATCTTGAGGCCTAATGATGAAGGGAATACTACTACACTGCTTGCCTTGACCTGCGTTCGTTTTCGTGTTTGGGGTAGAAGTGCTAGGCCACCTGGGAAGTCCGAATTGTCTAGTTGCATGGAAGCTGTCCATCGTATTCCGTGCTTCCCGTCAGATGTGGAGGTCTTCATAATCCAGTCGACTGCCAGTAAAATGAGGAAGGGGGAGAGTGAGCAGCATTGTCTGACTCCGGTCTTCACTTGGGATGTGCTTGTCAGGCGTCCTCCATGCACCACATTGCAGTGTAGTCCGTCGTATGAACCCCATATGTTGTTGATGGTCTTCACAGGCACTCAATGAGAAGACGAAGTTGATCTTAAAAATGTGATGTATTCGCGCCATACATTTCGACCAATCTGGTCACACATGTACGTGTCACTGCATTTTATATGAAAATTAATAAAGGTCAATTAAATGAAAGTTCAAGTAAAACGTAAAAAATGGGAGAGAAACAATTTTACATCATATTTTTATGTGATTCTGTAAAGTAGTTTGATCATTCAAATATCACTCATCCAGTTATAGTTTTGACCTCATCATCCACTTTATGTCACATAAACGAAGAAGCTTTCAATTATGGGTTCTATTGAATTGAAACACTTGATTCTAGTTTCATCTTACAATGTCTCACAAAATTAAAATGTAAAAATTTGTTCAGGATTTACAGATGCTTTGTTCCTTCAAAGAGAGCTTTGCTTTTCACACTTAAAACGTTAGAATGGAAATCGGTCAACATATATTCTCGTTTATATTTAGATGTTAATAACGTTTTTCGAAACATAATAATCGATATGTTCATAAGACTGCAGTTGGCTATCATGTTATTGATTAATTTGCTTTCTGTCTAGGTAGTGTCTGAATTTTGAACGAAGATGCGTTGTTATTATTATCAGTACTAATAATAAATAATCAGATTGAAGTTTATATGTGGAAGATAGGGACAGATAGAATTGTCAAATATTGAGCATCCAAGCAGTTATTTGAATTCAATTTGGCCAATTAGAAATGTTGAATATAATAAGCTTTTCTCTTTAAATCGAGTTTTTGTAGTATGTACCTTGGTTTAAACCGTAGTTATATGTCAGGGAAATTATTTATATGTAATTATATTCAATAGAATAATTCACCATGGTGCAAACATTTTTCACTGTTTTTATCATTGACATGAGCATTACGTAATGCTATATTGAATACATAAATAAAGGATCTTGAGAACTTCTTTAAATTATTCTATTAGAGAACAAATGAATTTATGACTATCATTGTAAGTAGACGTTTGATTCTCCAGTAATCCGATCTATTTGCGCAATTACTATAACGAGTAGCCATAGTAGAAACTCTGATAAATAGAAAATAATTGTATTTCATTATGAATTAAGGTTACAACTAGTAGTTATTTCTTATTGTTTGATCCTTGTTCTAGTTATCAATATTATTGGTCTCAAGCTTACCGTTCATAAAATTGATGACTAATAATTCCTCTGTTTTGTTATCTATTTGTTAGAACATTTAAAGTATCATTCTTTGATATATTAAAATAACTGTGTGAGAATATAGACGATATTTGATATTATTATTGTTGTTACTCACTAGTTCATATAAATGTACTCTAATTTTACATAGTAATAACGGTTAGAATGGTTTTATTAGGTATTTTCTATTCAGTCAAATCCTATGTGGGTTAGATACTGAAAATATCATGATGATAGCATTGTGTTTCATTGTTTGGCTTGTATAATAATATACCGTTTGAGTATTTTTGGACGTTAGTTATATGTAGACCAACCACTAAACTACAGAGAAATTTTCATTTTCTGCTGGATAAATTAGAAAATACTCAGTCTAGTTTCTACACACTTTATGGGACTTTATTTATATAGCTATGATCCTTTTAGTTACTCACAAAATTGTGAGTAGTTAAATAGTATTTAATAAAGGTATCTAGCACGTAGTTGAAATGGGAAAAACCACTTTATGAGTAAAAATAAAATGGTGAAATTAAGTTGACACTGGATTGTTATTGTAAATAATAGTGTGCGTATACTCATTTTAAAGTGGTAGATAAAATATTATCTCAAGTGTTAGTTTTCAGAGGTATTGTCTTCTCTAAGTTGGTTGATTTATTATGTAAATCTTCTATTATGACTCGGGACGTCGTCAGTTATCACGAAATCAGTTGTGATGGTTACTGTATGTCCTTAAAAGTTTTCTGTATTCGTACGTATCTGTGTATGAAATGCGGGAAACGGAATATGTATAATATTCATATTAGTCAAGATCAAATGAACATATCTTTGGAACTCACATGCTCCAATGCTGAATTAAGGGGGTAGAAGATATGTAGAGACATTTCAGGCAAACAAAATAACATTGTTTGTTACATGAGAGTATAAAGACTCTACACAGTTTCGTGGATAAGGAAAAATTATGAATACACTGAAATAATTCAAACAATAATATCTCAGGTCAACATCATGCAGAAATAAAGTCAAGGTTAATTCACTTTTGTATCTGTTGTTTTAATCTTACTATTGATGTTTAGGACTGAAATTGATTAGTCTCTTATTAGCATATGTATATCCTGTGAGGATTGCCTGGATATTGCCTCGCATCACAAGCATTCTAAGCAGAGATCATAGTAGCTAGAAGTAGAATTCAGGATATGCTTTTCGTCTTATTCGGAACTCCTTATATGGATGTACCTGCAACTCAGAGTTGATGTTCACTCCGGCACTTGGACCCAGCGTCATTCGCTTCAAACATCATCTCGTTATTCACTTAGCTACTAAGTTCAGATGAAAACCAGCTTGTGCATCCAGATAGGAAGAAACGTCCTGAATTGCACTGCTAGCCATTATCGTCTCTGCTTATGATGCAAGGCAATACAGAGGCTTTCCTCACATATGCCAATATGAGACTGATCAATTACAGTTCTAAACGTCAATGGGCAGATTCATGCAACCAATACGAGAATGAATTGAACTTCACTTTATTGCTCATACTAGTGGCTGCTCGGACTTAGTAGCTAAGTGGATAACGCGGTGGCGTTTTAAGCGAATGGTGATGGGTTCGTATGATAATTAGAAGTAATTGAATTATAGTCTGAACTAAGAATCCCAGGGATAACGCAATTGAATCAAGAAGTACTACACAATCACTAACGAATGTGCTGTATTTAGAATTCGAAATCAAACATTCAACAAGTACAAAGGAGTCATTAGTTCATTCAAACACCACATCCGCCACAGCTTAAATTAGAGTCTAAGTGTCTGTAATCA